CTATTAATAAACGGTTAACGAATGTGTATTTATGACGACGATTTGTGAGACTGGTAAACTTATGATATGTACGATGGTCTTTCGTTCTACACGGTGCATTTCAAGGTCCTGCACCCATCCGTCGGTAAACTGTACCTGGGCTTGTTGCAGTGACCTGAAGTTACTAAACTTCACGAGTGTATGCACTCACTCCAAGAAGCGTATAATTATAAATATGCTACGATGAGATAGCTGACTTCATCTAACTAGCAAATGTTTTCCAGGCTACGTTGGTGATGCAGTTTTTTTTTAAATGATAAAATCATTTATTTATGTATGATATTTTTGTCATGCGATTTTAAAGCCGGTCCTACAACCGCATCCAAGAATAACATGCAGCTTATCTCAGAACTGTCGGTGAAAATTATTCTTGGAGCTAGGTTTAATTGAGCTGCATTTTAAAGAGGTGCAATTTCACAATTTGTGTATATTTTCTAAGTTCACTATTTTGTCATGTGTTGAGAAAAACACAGATTTAAAAATTACATGGTCTAATATTTACATTTAGCATAACTGCAACATGCTTTTTTTCGTTTTTTTTAAAGACTCGAAAGGACTTGAAATTCAAAGTTTCAGACTTGTGACTTTACTCGGACTTTTACACCAGTGACTTGAGACTCGACTCTGACTTGCCTGACATTACTTGAGACTTGACTTGAGACTTGAGGATAAAGACTTGAGACTTACTTGAGACTTGCAAAACAATGACTTGGTCCCACCTCTGGAAATTTATGTATGTTACAACATAGTGGTCAGCTACGACACTAACAAATGTGACAATCACACGGTGACACTTTAGGATCAATGAATAAGACCCCAGCCTCACAGGGCTACAGATGGTCAACAACTACCTGGCAACCTCAGTCATGAGTAAAGAATAAGTATTCCCTGGTCAGTGAAGGCTGATGGCAGTTGCTAAGAAAATGAATGCTGAAGCTCCACTTACAGGTGGTTGCCAGTGACCCACTGGCAACCACCTGTCACTAGCATATTACTGCACCTGTTTGAATGGAAGTGATGCTGGCTGAAGCATGTTGGCTGGAGTACTGAGGTACAACTTTGCTTTTTGAAGTTGTACTACAGATAGTAGCAAAAAACTGCAGCCAACATGCTAGCAACCAAAACGCTGCCAACCACTTGGGGAATACACATTTTCCCTTGCAACCCTTTCCCTTTGAAAACTGGAAAAGTTGACATTTTTAATCCTATTGTAAAAGTAAATGAATGAATTAAATCCATAGTTTTTGAACAACTCTGTCTTTGTTGCTATATAAGCCCTTTAAGATGACTTAATTGGACATGATTTTTGCTTTTGTGCATATTATTGAGCATGTAGGAACAACAGTTCAGCAGTCATTATCTTGTCTCCTGTTTTCACACAATGGATGCTAAATTTCAAGACAAATGAGTCAACTAGCAGTGTGCTGCATATATCCCAGTGTGAGTCAAAAGCACTGATTGAACACTGAGCCCTTTAGGATGCACTTAAAGAATAACAAGACAGTCAAAACAGGTTGGAATGGCGCATATTTTCCTTGTGTTAGATCAAATTGTTTTTAGACTGTATGCAGTAGATATTTTATCTTTACTGGACATTAGCAGTTTGCTGATGTGCTGGCATTTCTGTCCCTCAGATGCTTGCACCTAAACATACTGAGCTAGAAAATAAATAATCAAAAAAAGACCAAAGAGCCAAATAGTGAGACCAAGGCTGTGATAAAAGGGCACATATAAACATTAACTGAAGTAGAAAGAAAGCCAGAGAGAAATGGCTCCATTCAGCCGTAACAGACTGTGTGGGAGGGAAGGAGAGCTGCTGACAGTGAAAAGTGACATAACTCAGGTAGAGAGTCTTGTTTTATAATTCATTGCAGAGTGTGTGTGTGTGTGTGTGTGTGTGTGTGTGTGTGTGTGTGTGTGTGTGTGTGTGTGTGTGTGTGTAAGAGTGTGTCCTGCAAACCATTATTGTAGATGAGGGTATTGCTCTTTCCACTGCCCTTATGTTCATTTATAGTTGATGATTTGAAACATTTATTTTTAATGACATTAAACAGTGACCCAAGAGGAAATTATTGGCCTTATTAGAGTTCATTTATTTTTATGTTAATCCAAGTTCATGTGTGTAGTAACTGCACAGCACACAGCCAAGATCGGGTGCATAACTCAGCAAAAGTCTTGCACTACCCACATTTCTTTATATTTTGCTATTGAAATGTTTTGTACAAGAATAACAAGCTTGAAAGTCAAGTATTGATAGGACTGTTTTTATTCTTTAATACAGCGTAACTCTCTTCAGCAAGCCTTTGTTCAAGTAGCCTTTGGAAATAGATCTTCAGGCTTCTTGGAGGATGTTCAAAGCTCTTCTTTGGGTGTTGGCTGGCTTTTGTTCTGTTCTCTGCCAAGATGATGCTGTAATGTTAAACTCCATGACTGTATGTTTTTCTATGCATGTATGCACTATCCACAGTGTGTTTGGGATCACTGTCACGCTGAAAAAGCCATCCATTACCAATCAAAAACTTTCTCATGGTGGATCAAAATCTGATGGTCTACTGTGTTCATAATTCATAAAAGATCACACTACTGACTAAAATGCAGCCCCAAACCACAACAGAGCCTCTATTATGTTTTACAAATGGCAGTAGATACTGTTGCACCTCTCTGCTGACCTCCTGTGTACATATTGACCTCAGCATTTTATCCCCATTTCCCTTTCTTAAGAATTCCTTCTTCACAGCCACCCTTCCATTAACACATTTCGGATGAGCCAAACATTAAATGAATCAACCTAAGTGTCTGATGCGTCTATTGAGTCCTGTGTCAGGACATGGCTTCAGATACTGTCCATCTGTAAATAGTTTTTAGGACTGCCATTTCTTTTGTTCTCCCATTATCCAATTTCCCCAGTTTTTATGGACACACTGGGAATCACCTTATTGATGCAAAAATACTATTTTAAGTCTGTCAAACTGTGAATTTTTTCATAGATTCAATTAAAAAAAAATAGTAAAAACAATTTTGTTTTTGAAATAGATATTTTCTATTTAGATAGATAACAGTTATTTGTTATGTGTAGATTAGTTTATTAATGGGCTGAGGGGCCCTTTTTTTTTTTATTAAGTGGCTATACGAACAAAAAACAAACCAAAAATTTCATTTGAAATTGATCAAGATGAACGACTGGATTGAAAATGAGTAAAAAAGCAGCCAATGTCCAAAAAATTTTGAAAGACCTTAGGAAGCCTAAAGAACTCTTACCGTATTCAAAACTACGTCTCACTCATTGAATGCAACATATGCAACAAAAATCAAATGCAGCTCAAGACTTTTGCACAGTACAGTATGTTTAAGACTTAAATATCAGGCTTCTTGTAATATCATAATAATAAGCATCTTAACAGTCTTGCTGTCTGCCTCTTTTTGAAGGTTACTTAAAATATTCAGACAGTGATTATTTCCAGTTGTTTCATGAGCATAACAAAAAAAACAGCAGTCAGTTTATTAATATGCAAATGGATTGTTGTTCATGACAATCATGAATGTGTAAATGCTATATATTTAAATGTTAAGATGTAAGGTTAAAACATAACTAAATATATTTTTTAAGGTCAGACCTCATACAACTCCGTATGGGAAAGCAGCTGCAGTTTGAAACCTCTCCAAACTCGCCTGGGTTTAGAGTGCTAATGGGGTTTTATTCGGTTGTTTGGAACATTTTAATGCATCACCACCTCTTTGAATGTTAATAGTATGCAGTGACTGAATGACAAGGGTGAAATCAATAAGAGATTATAGCTTTCCCTGGAATCACCAAGTCAGCATGTTTCATGGAAGCAGCAGGTGGTCTCGTTTTATTCATTCATTTATAAATGGATCAGAAAAACAGCCACTTATACAGCGAGCGCACAGACTTCTAATAGCATGTGAGCGTTTCTCTTTTACTGAGTGAGGAGAGTAATTTAAATTTCAGGTTCCAGCTATTCCCTTCTTTCAGCAAACACTCACACAGATCCGCACATAGCAGCCTAACCAAACGTGGTTGGCTGTGGTGGAATTTCAGAGAAACCCTCCCCCCTCCACCATCCTCAACAATACAGTACCTACTGTGGATTACTTCTGATTCCTAGGAACCACCTTTTCACAGTATTCGAAGTGGTCCTCACATGTAGACTATCCGGAAGAAGACCTAGCAGAGGTTGTACTTCACATCAAATCAGGTAGTACAACCTGCCACAAGAGCTGCCGGTCAGACGGCAACAAGTAATCCGATTTGTAGAGAGGATTGCTCTTGATGCTGATCTTTCCTCCATCCAGGACCTGTGCAGGTCCAGGATTAGTAAATGGGCAGAAAACATCTCTGCAGACCCCTTACATCCTGGACATAAACTGTTCAAACTGCTACCTTCAGGCAGGTGCTACAGAGCGCTGTTTGTGAAAACCAGACTCCACAGAGGTAGTTTCTTCCCCCAGGCAGTTACTCTCATTGTCATGATGCGCTCCGTGGCAGGTAAGGTGAAACCCAAACGCAGGACTCGGAGACCAAGGATCAACTGAATGAAGCTGCTTTTTGTTGCTGTAGTATGAAAATGCAAAAATATAAAAACACATAAAAACTTGGACCTGGAGGAAACTAAGAACTTGGAACCTACAAGAGAATCATGGAAGACACAAGTAACAGAAAGGGACCAAATATGAACAACAAGAATTATAGAACTAGAATTGTAAATAATGAAAACTCAGAGGCTCTAGGAAATATAAAACTAAAGACTAACTAATACCATAACCATAATCAACCCAAAAACGTAGTCAAAGAACCAGGACCGTGACTCTCATGAACACTATGAAATAACTCCCTGCTTTCATTCAGGCCATATGCACATATTCACATTGCACTACTCAGTTTGCTTAGTTTCTAACATACAGCCTATTTTTAAAAAAATGTTTCTTTTCTTTGCATGCAGGGAGCAAAGTGTACTGGAGTCTAATTCCTTGTTCGCGTGTACAAACACGGCCAAATAAAGATGATTCTGATTCTGAAAGCAGAGGTTTGGCTTGCAACCACACACACACACACACACAGGGATTTTGCTTTTCAGGTTATCAGGCTAAATCACTATAGACTATAGATTCAAACAACATTTTCAACTACAGCAACAGGAAAGGCATGGGAGTGCAGGGATGACATTGAATCTGATCTGTGATGTGCCTAGGTCTCAAACTTGTGGATCTTATTTAACCTCTTAAGCCCCAAGCCTACCTGATCTCCTGCCTTTTGCCCCCATATCAGGGGGCGTTGGGGCTTAAGAGGTTAAATTGGTGTAAACAATCTGCGCTTTTAACAAAGACTCAAGGATTCAACTGGCTACCATGTATGTTTTTTTTCCCCCTATTTCTTCCCAGGTGAAGATGACGACGATGAGGAGTGTGGGGAGGAGAAGCTGCCCTCGTGTTTTGACTACGTCATGCATTTCCTCACTGTATTCTGGAAGGTTCTGTTCGCCTTCGTGCCGCCCACAGAGTATTGGAATGGCTGGGCCTGCTTTGTAGTCTCCATCTGCATGATCGGACTGCTCACCGCTATCATTGGTAAGACTTTAAATATCCTGAGGGATTGACAAGAGATACACAACAAATGATGGTTTGTTTAACAGCTGAACGCATCTGTTTTCTTCTAAGTATATGCTGTGAAGTATAGTGATGGAAATTATTCCTTTCCTATCCTTACAGGGGACCTGGCCTCTCACTTTGGATGCACAGTAGGCCTGAAAGACTCTGTCACAGCAGTAGTATTTGTTGCATTGGGAACCTCAGTACCAGGTAAGCGTGTGAGCACTTATCCTTTATGTTTATATACATGTATGTGTAGGCGTACATGAATCCATCACAGTACATGTTTTTGCCATCTACTGGACCTTGTGCCAGCTTTAATCAAATCCTGTTCTCTCTTTATATTTGCTATTTAGCTTTGTAAAGTCATTATGAGGAAAAGATCTTTGTTCATCAATGATCCACCTCAAGGAATATATATTGATATTTTCAGTTCTTTGCTCAATTTACTACACAAATCAACAAAAGCTACAGTGGAATGAATATCAAGGCACGCTATTAAAACTTCTCAAGTTCGAGAAACACTAAGTAACTAGTAATTCTTATAGATACAGTAGCAACTTTCATAAAGATGAGATATATTTCAGCGTGATCTGTTGCACTATAGACTACAAAGTATGCAGGGGATTTTTATGTTGGTTTATGGCAAATTATACAGTCTCAACTCAAATTCACTCATCCAGAAAAGAAATGTCATGGTTATTTAGTAACAGGGAATGGGACTTGGGTAATTATCCATTACTAGAAAATGATCGGCGTAATTCTGGCATCATGATAATATTCACTAAATTTGCTTTACACAAATAGCTTTGAAGAGCTTTTCCACATGAAAGCATCTTTGTATTGATGTTCATTAATATTATTTTTCTGCTATTACAAATCCAAAGAAAAACAACATAAAAGTAGATCAAAAGAACCTCAGAGCTCACATTTCCCGAGCTCTTATTCTCAGTGAACTTGTACCAGAACTAACCCAGTAGTTCTCAGCGTCTTGCCACAATATTTTTTGCATATGGGTCCCCGTTAGACAAAGCAGTGCAGTCTGCCGACAGCAACATGGCTCATCTTGCGTAAGTGTGAAGAATGACCAAATGCGATGGCTGGGTGATTATATGTTTTAACCTTGGTCCCCACATGCACACACAGACAAATATATCAGACATACAGTGTATACTTGACTGCTAGATGTATAAACTAGAACATGGAAAAACATAAACGACTGCGCGACTTGAGTAATAGACAAGCACACTCATCTATCTGAAAAACATTAAAGCTTGAAAGAGATTTTGCACACTTGTGTACACACAACCCCACACACAATGACTTGTACTGTGACCACCATGTGCTATTACCATAAGGCTATTTGTCATGTCAGGCTCAGGTGCTCCCTTGCCTCCCATTTAGGGAGCTTAGGGATAAAAAGCGTGTGCTCCATACTACTTTATACTCACACATATATACATACACACATAGTACATTAGCATATGGCTGTACATGTAATATATGCTCATACACTAAGAAAAATATGCACTTGATATCAGCTGAATTTATGGACACATAAACAGAGATGCTCAAGTCACAGTACTGCACACAATGTGTAGAGCTGCCGAATGAAAACAAAGTGGCTCAGCCTTTCTGAAGCTCTCAGCCTTATTAACAGAGCCTCCTGTGGCTTCACCACACATACGCGCACATACACACACACACAAAGAAACAGACCTCAGTTCTGTGGCTATTACAGTTAATAAAACCCATCCTGTGCTGTGGTTCTATGTCAGTTACCCTCGTTTATCACAGTTAGCCAGGCTAACCCACACATGGAGAAAGGGAGATGGAAAGAAAACAACTAAAGTGGTGCTGTTAGGAAAATTTGAAACTAAAGAAGCTCACATTTGTTTGTAGTTTGCGGGTATTCGGGTAAAATTTCAGGTAAAACTTTGTTGGTTCGTGATTTCACAGTACACTTGATGTGTGCAGTGTATTATCATGACTCCTAATGGCTTCAGAAATTTGATCCGAGCATATAAACTGAGGGATGCAGGGATTGCAGGGATTTAAAAGAGAAAAAAAAATAGACACATACAGAAGATAAAAGCATTGTGCAATAAATGTTGGTTCAGGACAGTGAAGCTGATAGTCATCATGTATCCTCACAATATTGTATCACAATAAATATGTCATGTAAGACATGATTTTTGAGTAAATAAATGTAAATAGATAAGATATTAATGATCAGTCACTGTAAAATACTCGAATACTCTTTGACCCTCTGTCAAAGTAACAAATTAATAAATATTCCTGAATGTTTTTCAATTAAACTAATAAGAGCTGCCACACATCAGTCTCCCAGCACTGTCCAGTTCAGAACAAAATATCTTTAAAAAGATTTTCAACTGGTTTATACCCCCTGAGTATTTATATACCCCTCTGTGTATTGTTCAGTATTTTGTGGACCAGTGATCTATAATAAGGAATCTCAAGAGGGCCAGATTTCCTTTGGATAGTCACGGTCCGCAGAGGATTAATGCTTCTGTTTTTATTCCTTTATTGCTAACACCATAAACATTCCAAATGCCAAGATTTTCCTGAGCATATTAGTTGCATGTTCTTCCATTTTAAGAGGCAATGGGGAAAAACAGGAACAGAGGGGAGAGGGGAAGAAGGAGGAGCATGACGTCAAAAAGAGAAGAGCGAGGCAGTGACTGATTGACAGAGAGGTAGTGGAAAAGGGCAAAAAGCTCTCCAGGGAGCCATAGTGTCACATAAGGAGCTTCAGAGTGGAACCTGTTTCACAGTAACACACACTCACGTCACTGCTGAACACGTACACACCCACGGACTCACCCACTCAATCAAGCTCACAAGCACTCTAAGACCATTTGATACACAGGCGTGCATGCCTTTGCCAGCTGGTAGAGACATGGCATCAGATTGGACCCAGGTGGCAAACTTCGCAAACACACAGAGACACAGTGTACATACAGTATGCGCTCTTAATACAGAAAACACACACACAAAGACAGGAACACACAGAGCGTTGACACACATCCATAAGCCCAGCAGACAGGTGTTAGTCTCTTTCACAGGCCAATTGTCATATCTATCACCGCCCTGTATCTACTTCTTGATCCTCCCATCATCCTCTTTTCCACAGCCAGGTTGGCTGCTGCTTCAAGTAATCCCTTCCTTCTCTTTTCATCTTTTGCTTTCTTCCGTAATCTCAGTTTTTGTCTCTTCTTGTTGTATCTGGCAGAGAAAGGCAAGATGACATGAATCACTAACAAAGAGAAGCTAGCCAGAAAAGAGTGCTAACTGACCATTTGGCTATTTGCTCACCAAACAGCCTATTGTTGAGATCTGGCAGAGTCACCGTTGCTCCTTTCAGTGCAGGAAGGAAGAGCATGACTTTGGAGCTGCTGTAGTTTGGCAAGCATTAGGCAGGGGAAATTTTTAGGACTACACAGCACATTGCTTCTTAGTCACCAGGCCAAAATCTGTTTGTTCCCCCTAACTGCAATTCAACTTTGTAAATTCTTGCTCTCGGAGCAAATCGTGCATATGCTGGCTGCTGTAGAAGAAACACTGCAATTGGATTAAAGATTGTGGCTCCTAATTTAAGGTTGCCTGTCTAAAAATAGAAAACAAGATTTATATAGTGCTCTGTATGTGGTCTGTATTAATAGCTATATACATTATGCATGCATGAAAAGTGTCCTTATCTGTCCATGCAGTCTTGTGTAACACAGAAATCACTGCAAATTTACCAGATCCTGAGTAATTTTCATAATTCACGGCGGGAAATTATCCCATTACAGCTGCTCAGTCATGTGAAAGTCGTAGAATGCACGATGCATAATTCAAATCGTCCAGTAACAGTCTTACTGGGTTTTCCAGCAGCAGCATGGCTGTTTGTTGGAGAAACATTGATTCTAACAGACCAATATCTTCACTGCAGTGTGACCAATGTTTCATCGTTTGTATTTTAAACCTTCTTTTCTTACCACTCTTAGATTATTCCTGTTTGTCAGTGGGAGCAATGGGATCTTGATTAATTCTGTGTTGCTGTGAAACGCAGAACCATACACTGATGGAAGTCAAACCGATTCCTTAGAAGAGCTACAAAGTCATCCATCTTTTTGTGCAGAAATCTTACCTTGTCCATGACGATAAAAGTGTAATCCAACTTATATCTCCTCTTTCCTCTCCTCATCTATCTTTTGCCTCCCCTCCTTGTACCTTTGGCATAGATATCCATTGTTGTTATTCTGGTTGAAAGTGGAAATAACATTAAAAAAAAAAAGTTCAAATACTCTATGATAACAAAGGCAACTGTTACAGGCTACAGGCACAGTTGGGGAATTTTGTGATTAGGCATGTCAGTCTGTTTGCAGTGTTAGACATTAAGTCAGTAACACTTAATTTACACTGAATGGAACATTTTGTTTTGTTTATTGCTTTATACTTTCACTCCACAAAAACGGTTGCATTCATTTCTTGGTGACTGAAGAAGAATAGGAAAGTCAAAGTTTTTAATAAGTCATCATCAGAATTAAGAGTGTTTTTTATCTTGCAATCAGCTGTATCTGATCTTTTTTTTTTCTTTCTCATTAACTTGAACATGAGAGATTGTAACAACGATCACCAGTTACTTTATGGCCAATGACAACTCTGTTTTTTTCTCTCTCTCTCTCTCTTCATCCAGACACATTTGCCAGTAAGGTAGCAGCTATCCAAGATCAGTATGCAGATGCATCCATTGGTAATGTGACAGGCTCCAATGCTGTCAATGTGTTTCTGGGCATTGGGGTAAGTCCAGCACATTTGATTAAAGATGTATTGATTGATAGCTATTTAGAGAAAATGCAGTAGTGCTTGTCATTTTGCTGTAGTATAAATTATTATGTTGTGCTTGGTATAAATGATAGGTTACTGCATGAGTCCTATTCTTTAATTCTGCATGAATGAGTGTGTGACTGACAAGTGGTATGGTCTGTCACACCCATCTGTCTCCTTTGGCAAAGTCTGTATTTGCTTTTGTTTCCTTTGTTGTACATGCTCACCGCGTCTCATGTTATTAAATTCAGTTTTGCTGCTGTTCAACAGGTGGCGTGGTCCATTGCTGCCATCTACCACAACAGCAGGGGTGAGGAGTTCAGGGTAGATCCTGGCACGCTGGCTTTCTCGGTCACACTCTTCACCATCTTTGCCTTTATCTGTGTCGCCATGCTGATGTACCGACGGCGACCAGACATTGGTGGAGAGCTGGGTGGGCCCCGGACTGCGAAGGCCCTTACCACCATGCTGTTCGTTAGCCTGTGGCTCCTCTACATCCTCTTCTCCTCACTGGAAGCCTACTGCCACATCCAGGGCTTCTAAGATGATAGGAGATGTTGAAGAGAAGGGTGGGACAAAGCAAGAAAACATGGAGGAAAAAACAAGGGGGAGGTGGATGAATGGATGAATTTGGATTTAGGAATTAAGGCTGTCTCGTTGTTCTAGAAGTCCCCCCTTCAGCAATAGATTTAATGATAGATGAATGGATGGATGTACAGATGAAGGAGTGCACATTTAAACAGATAAAGACAGAATGGAAAGAGGTACAGATGCATGGAAGGATAACAAAAAACATGAGATTAATAGGAAGCGAAATTATCCAGAACGGTGGAAGCTTAATGAGAAAAGGAAAAAAATCAAAGCGTCTCACTCTAAAAGTGCAAACCAATCAAGTCATCTTATTAAACGTGTCCCAACTGGCTCGACCTTATAGAATTACAATGAATTTAAACACTTGGACTGAGGTTAAAACAGAGGTACGCACCATAAAAGCTCCTATTGAGAACGAGTGGTTTCAGCAGGAGCCCTCTTTCAGTGTAGTGCATCGTATCCAAACACTGTAACAGGCAGGAGTGAGACAGACAAAGAAAGAATAACTTTATCAGTATGTGCATGCATGACCAGACAATACTGAAAACATAATCAGAAGAAACCGGATACATTGCCACAATTGTTTCATGACAACTAACTGTGTGTGTGCTGGTGTGTAACAGTGGGTGTCCCTGCTTGTGTGTTGTGGGAAGATGGTCAAGTACTGTGAAAAAAACCGCCTCTCGTCTTGCTCTCACTGCGTGAGGCGAGATATGCTTTCGTGTTCGAGGTCTTTTTCACTCTCGCTCTCCCAGCCTGTAGAAATGCCGAGTATGACTTTCGCAGGAGAGCAAATTCAGTGAGATGAAATGTTTTAAGCGTCACTGAGGTTCGAATTGTAAATATAAAGAGCTGATCGTACATTACAGCTTCACGGTTTTCCTTCTGAATGTCTCGGTTACGCCATGCGCTCCTGATCGGACCCTCTTTCTGTTGCTTTATACTGTAAATGTAAAAGAATTAAGGACTAATTTGAACCAAGAAGTGGTTAGTGTGCTTTTACCTTTAATAAGGTCATGTCTGAGAAGACGAAATGGCCACTCTACCGTCGAAAACTGTTAGAAACTATTATCACTGCATAAATATCTAGGTATTTTTGATTTTACTATGGAACCACCTGGTGTTCCACCTGTGGGATTGCCGCCATCATTTCTGAATCATAACTTTTAAATAGCCTGAAAATTCTAGCTAGCACCCATTATAGGCCTTCTTTTCCTTCATTTTCTGCCACTTGGTTTACTTAACAGCTTCAGTCATTATCTCTGTGCATCGCCAACCTGGCTGGTCGCTGGACCAATCAAAATCTTCAAGGGCTTTGTAATAACCACTAATCCCTAACCCTGACCCTTGATTTATAATGTTTCACATAGATTGGTCGTTAAGGGGAATATTTAACAGGCGCTTATATTGGTAAACCTTACACATTGACTTCTCAGTTAAAAGAGCTTTGCTTCAAACTAGCGCAGGGCTACATGAGATAATAGCTGCACGTCTTTGTTATGTTACCACACCAGGCATCAAGAATTTCCTAGATATTGTAAAAGCAACCTGCTGCTTCTAAGTACTCATTCAGACAAGGCTTCAACTTTTCATTCCAAAAAACACTACTAGTCAAAAACATTTTACTCATAATATGTCTGGATGACGAAGGCCTTAACCTAAAGAAAGCAATTACCATCTGGCTTTGTCATATTTCTTTATTCAAAGGTAAGTTGCTTTCAAACAAATAACCTTAATGTGATCTGTGGGATTTACTCATTCTTGTTGAACTTGACACATTAGTTCAGCTGCCAGTTTTCAGTCTTAACACAAAAGCCATCAGATAAAGGGATAGCTGAAAATGATTTTCTGTTGGGCAGGACGTCAGCGTAGAGGACGGGGTAAATGTGGACATGTAACACAGGTTACATCTAATCTCAGACAGCCTGTGTTTGACAAGCTCACACCGCTTTCAGGGCAATAACAGAAAGCTAACAGGGATACAGTTACAACACTTGTCCCCACAAATCTCCTCCTGCTGTGGAGTATATAGCCCAGTGTTTTAATTCTCAGTAGCCAGGTTACCATGGTAGTCCACCCTGGTTAAAAGCTAATTAACTCCTAAAGTCTATAATCTCTCTTTGTGACATGGGCACAAACAGTCTCTGTTATTCTATTATATATGTAGCATACTTTTGTTAGTTTAACAATGTAAACTGATCTTAAATTATTACCACTGGTCTGTGTGCATGATGTGACAGGGGCCCACTTGGACTTATTTATCATCCTAATAGTGTGCTAGTAGCTTAAAAGGACACCGGGGCATATGAAACACTACGTCTACTGCGTGCAGACCAAACTAACTGCCAGATCGTAAGACTCACAAACTAAAATTCCAAAACACTAAATGTCTGGAAATCTTCTGCTTTCTGTAATTCAGTATTAGACAGACAACAAATCGATCCCAAAACCTCGAACACCAAGGGCCCAGAATTATGTACATTTTAAAGCCTGTCTCGACTGTCAGAGAAGTTTAGACTTCAGACTGTTAACTATTGCAACATTCAGCTAAACTCACAAAGATCTCAGCATACACGTAACTTACAGTATATGTAGGCATAATAAAAGTCCATAAGTCCAGAATTCCTCTGCTTCTAATGTGTTTTTTACTTGATGTATATGATAAATTGTATTTATAATGTCATCTGTAAAAGTAAGTAGTCCGGACTAGATGTAATCCATTTTAAACTTGGCAGGATTCTTGTAAAAGGCAGATTTTAACCCCTGAGAAAGTAGACCTGGGCTGGCTTAGATTGGATGAGTTTGGCAAATCCAGATAATTGCAACAATATAAATACTCTGAATATAGCTTTTGAAAAAATTATTAATTACACAACAACACTAGGATGAAAATTTGAGAAGACAGTGCTACAGAAACATGGCTTTGCTGCTGCAGTTTTGTTTGTTGTACAGTTTGAAAACTACTAAGAAAAGACATTTGGTGTATATGTCGTTTGATAGCTGCAGTATAATGAGATATTGCATTACTTGCATTTGTCAAACTCAGCACAATCTGTGGCTCATCATTAGAGTAGCTGTTCTTAAGTGAAGGCCTTGGAGTGGCAGTTTACCCCTGTTTTGCCAAAGGGAAAACTTTATATCAGATATTAATGTTTGCAGTCCAATCTGTAAGGGGTTTTCTAACCAATGGATCTTTCTTAAAACACCAAATATAATTCATATTTCATTAGTAATCTGAAAAGCATTAAAAAAGGCTTGATGTTGTTTTAACAGAACTCAAATCTTTTTATTTAAATTTGTATGTATTTGTCTCTTCACTGGCACGAGCTGAGGGTTTATACACTGTAAAAAAACTAAATTATGCTAGCTTGCTTTTAAAAAAAAAAGAAGGAATAACGATATTAAAGCTGTATGCATCACTTTTTGAGTACCTTCAGTAGGTATTGTCTTTGATATTGCTAAATCATGTTGGAATTACTTAAAATGTGCCAGCTGCCTAATATTTTGAGGTGAACTCTAGCGTGAGCAGGAATCAAATGCTTGCAAAAATGCAGTTTCGTGCATTAAATTTATGGCTTGTATTTTTTTTTTTTTTAAATGCTAAAAGTTTTCTTTTATGGGAATTTAGCTCTTTTGCTGCACTGGCTTTGCTGCACTGGCGTTGCTGCACCGTCTCTCTGGGTGTATTCACTTTGGCTTAAGAGCTAGTCTGACATGAACCTTATTGGCAGATTAATGACAGCTGTTCAGAGTTTGAAACAAGGCTGGAAACTAAACATTGTTAGCTGTTGTTTAGCTAAAGACTTTTCTTGGCTGTACATCATCAAATATTAACTTTCTGGTTGAAGTTAACTTTTTTTTTCTATCTGCAACTAGCAACTTTCCTGCAAAGACTGTAAAGCAATTTGTTCCAGCTCAAGTCACAATAACGCTTGAGTCCAGCTTCGTGCTTTGGTTTGAAATTCTGCATTTTAAAGGGTCAAAAGTTAGCCAGGTCATCACTGTATATATTAACACTAACAGCTAGTAAGGAGTAGAAAAATGAGCTGTAGATTGCATTTGTTTTAACTTTTGTTCTTCTGTGGTGGGGTTTGAAACAGAATTGGGCAGGTTTTTAAATGACGGACAAGCATTGCACTGGTTCTTGTCGCTTATGTGAAACGGCTACTACGTTGGTTCATTTACAGAGTTGCTTCTGATGTAAACAACAGAGATTGTGTTTTCTGTCTCTGATTTACACAATAATAATGATGTACCTGATGTAAAAATACAGTGGTGTTGAATCAGTTGTAAACCATTAACAATGTTGATTCTAATGTGGGTTCTAAAGGGTTGACGATATGTTTGTGTTGCCATATTCACTTTTTAACTGACTGTCTGTCTGACAGACCGAGGAATAAATAACAGCAACATCGGACAGACAAAATGAGCAAAAGGAAGGACAAACGCCCCTACTGGTACAAGCGGAGCAATATTTGCTACAGAGAAAAAAATGTACCGCTGGAAACAAAGGCTACCAGAGCTATTCTCTACCTTAAAATGCAACATTTAACATGTAGAAAAAAGGTTGGTGATGTAGAGAAGAAGAAAGAAAAAGAAGATGACACGAAAGAAGATGAAAATAATAATAATAATTAAAAAATGAAGTTACAGCCATATGTTGATTTCTGGGTCAGAGAGACTGATGTGGACTTCTCCTGCCCAGCATGTGTATTGTTATGGTGTCTTTATCTGTCCCTGTGTCTCTCCACCCTCTTTCTCTATCTTGCTTTCTCAATCTCACTGCTGCCAAAGTAACCAAAACAGGCAGTTCTCCTTTTGTTCCGTATCTTCTTCCCAGCTCCCGTTCTACCCTCTGTCTCCCTATGCCATGTTTTCCATATTTTGGAATGTCAATGTGCTACTTGTTGACACTGTGCATGAATGATAACATGTCTGTATATAGTTATAGAGAATTGTATCCCATTTCCTTAGTGTTGACTAAAAAAGGTTTGAATGTTGTACAGATTCAGGTTTTCCTTTTTTTCTGTTCAGTTACATTTTGTAATGTATGTAGAGCTTAACAACATTTTGTTTTAATTTAAACAAAGATGCGATGACTCTTTTTTTTTTTTTTTTTTTGGAGTAACTTGCACATTACTAATGAATTCATCAAGTTTTTTTTTAAAAAAAGGCAATATCTGCTGTTATTGAATGAGAGATGAGATCTTAAAGAAGTTATGTATCTTAAATAAGTAATCTATATGGGAGCTGCATGGGTTATTTGTACAAAAAAAGAGACACTGCTTGCTACTTCTAATACCGTGGCTGTATTCTCCGACAGAGGATGAGGAATACTGTATGTATATCTAAAGGTTATTTTGTCATTAAAGAAATAATAATAATAATAATGTGTATATACTGTACAGTGTTATAAGTGAGGTGGACTATACGACCATCACACTAACCATAGAGAATTAATTCTACATATTTATTTAAAGGAAACAACAACACTCGCTACACTCAAGAATGACATATATTGCCTTTTTGGAGAAGTTGTAGTTTGCTTAGAGCTTATTTCTCTATCGCTGCCTCACTCTGCCCTCCCATGCATCCTCTTTCTTCATTCTTGGTTGGTTATTTTTTTTCCTTCCATCTGCTTCTATTTACTTTTGTTTTGGCGTTGGAGGCTTTTGAGATTGCCTTTTGTCAGTGATTGTTGTTGTTTGATTCAGACAGCGTTATGTTTTTAGTTTGTCTTTTTGACTCGTGTCTCACTTATGGTTGCTTTTTATGCCCCCTAAATCATTATCTCTAGAACTGCTTCTATTCACCAACATCCAAGTATAGTTATGAATATCTGCCTGTGTCTGCATCTGATTTAGTCTCTCAACGGATAATTTGTTTGTATTTAAATCACCATCTGTTTTCCGAGCTGTCGATCATTTATCTTGGTTGCTGAATAATTCTCTTTTCGTTTTTCTTTCCTAAATTCTTCCTTTGTGCCAACAAATTCTGGTTTTTATTTCTTCACTCCTTCCTTTCATTCATCTTCTCTTTCTTTCTCTGTCCTCTTTGCACTTTCGGGGTGTTTCAGGGTTTTTTGTGTTTGTCACTTTGATTTGATGTGGGGGTTTTTCTTTTCTTAATGGAACAGTAACTTTAATAATCATGTTTGTAATAATTTTTAAGATTTGTTTTCTTTTTGCCGCTGTTTCTCTGTGTGTGCGTGTATTAATTTTCTTTTCTTTTTTAAATTAATTTCTGGTCAAGACCAAATGATAGGAGGAAAGTTGTTGTATGTGTGTTGCCACTAACTGTGACTGCTCTCCATGGTACATGGTAATTCTGATAAAACCAGTAAAATAAAGTTTGGGATACCCTGTTTCAGAGACCTTGTGAGTGCACTGCCTTTCTACAGTGTGTGTTTGTGAGCATGTGTGTTTTGTGTTACATCCTGTCTGTATTTAAAAGCTTTAGTATCAAACATATTTATTATGCAGTTTCTATTATTAGCTACATATTCAATAAGTAAATAGAAGCTGGAGCCAGCTTGTCTGTGTGTCTCTTGTACACTTGAACATCCATATATATAAATGCTAAATAAGAGGGGCCCTAGGATGGAGCCTTTGGGGACCCCACATGTGATTTCTATATTTTGTGATGAGAATTGGCTTATTGACACATAGAAGTTCCTGTTGTTAAGGTAGGATTTGAACCAGTCGCGTGCCGTACCAGAGAGTCCGACCCAGCTCTCGAGACGTTCCAGTAATATGTCATGATCAACGGTGTCAAACGCCACACTAAGGTCCAATAGTACCAATACTGTGGATTTTAATAACTAAATAATTAATTTGGATTAAAATAAAAATCTACCAGTGGATAGACTGTTATTGAGACTACCTTATATAAATTTTATGCAGTACAGATAGAACATCTGTCCTTTAGAGTATAAAAATGTTCTAAATTCACATTTGCACTGGTCTTTTTTAATTATCTGACAAATTATGTCCCCTGCTGTGTAATTTATAGTAGTTATAGACTTTATATACAGTACTCTGCAAAAATCTTGAGTCACCACTCATTTGTTTATATATAGCTTGGAAAAGAGGGAAATTTGCAAATAATTTGCACATATAAATGGGAAATTTGTATATTAGTATATTTCTAATGAGGTTTGACCAACACAATTCACTTTTGCTTCTTGGAAGCAAAGCACAAAGAGCTGAAGGTTGGCTTGTGACTTTTGCAATGAAGTAAAATACTGGTATAGCCTTGAGATGACTGTTGCTTGGTAGTTTATAAATAAAATTCAACCAGATTTCATTGAATTGAATCGTGACATCCCCCTCTGGTTAGTGACATCCCACTATTAAGCTTCAATCTGCCATTACCATTGATGTGAAACCGGACATGAGGATCTAACTGAGAAACAAAGGGATACTGTATGCTTATAGGCTAAATCACACAGTAATGTTTGATTAACAGTCCTTCAAAATGGAATTAAACTTTATTGTCATTGCACATGTCACAAGTACAAGGCAACAAAATGCAGTTTGCATCCATCCAGAAAGTGCTTTTGCAATAATATAGATATCTTATCTTATCTTATGTGGATCTATACAGCTGTAAGGAAGAAGCTGTTCCAGTACCTGGTGGTCTTAGTCCGGATGCTCCCAGAGGGCAGGAGAGTCCGTGTGCTGGGTGACTGGGGTCTTTGATGATTCTCCCAGCCCTTTTCAGACACCTCTTCCTCCAGATGTCTTGTATGGCAGGAAGTGGTGCTCCAGCGATGCGCTGTGCAGTTTTCAAAACCCTCTGCAACGCTAGAGCAGCTCCCACACCAGACTGTTATACAGTTGGTCAGGATGCTCTCGATGGTGCAGCGGTACCATAATTTTAAAAATGGCTATCATTTTATATTCAGTAAATGGGCTTCTGTGGCCATAAACCCATCAGAAAAGTGTTTTGAGGTCACAGAGTGAGAGATCTAAAGGTTCATATAGACAACAAAAGGCTTTTCCACTGTTGTTAGTAAGAATGCAGGCTTAATATTACAACCCTTTTAATACTAATTAGTCATTGCAAATATTGACATCACACATTTCACTTACCTTTCCAAATCACTACCTTAACTTGTGTTTACTATCTAATATCCAGTTACTATATTACGTGCAACCTTGTTACTGTCACTATCCTGAAACATCCATGCTGGCACTGTTTGCTGCTGCAGCTCAGTCCCAGTCTATCCTAGTTAAAAACATTTTGCCGAATCTTGCACGTGACAAAATTGATTTTCATAGTATGACCTTGATTGGTATTTTCTGAGAGCTTTCTGTGTAACCATTTGCTGTAAATTGTTATTTTCTTGATCTGAATGTCTTCTAGGTTTATTTGAACTAAAAGCAGCCAAACAGCATGTTACACTTGCCTAAAGCACTCACTTAGGAAAAACGCCTTCCAGGGTAAAGTAGGGCGTCTGATTGGAAACTGAGTAAAAAGAAAAAACTGCAGGGCTTTTAGAGAAATAAACAGAATGTAAATATAGAGAAAGTTACACAATGGTCAGTAGAAAGCCTTTATAAGAGCTGATTGATAGATGAATTGTGTTTAGGTTTCTCCTCTTCCTTAGCTGCCACCATGATGGATCATGCCCATTCTCTGCCTGCAGGCATGATGGATTATTCCAAACACAAATAAATCCTCTTCCTGTTTGTTACATTTAATTTTATTGTATTTTATATTAGTTGTGGCTGATATTTTATTTATTTTAATCCTGTCCTGTCTAGCACCTTTTGCAAACAGAATTGAAGCACTGTGGTGCCAAACAAATTTTGCTTTTGCAAGAACATCTCTATAGGCTCCTCTTGTTCGTGTGAATCTTTATTATTTTATTATTTATTATTAACTTTATTAACAAGTAATGACTAGAATGTAATTTTTTTTAAAAAGGGGGGCAGGGTGTCACCAGGCAGTACAGCCAGCAAAGCCACATGAATGGCCTTCAACATCCATGGTGATCCACAACAACCTAGTCAAACAACAGACACGCACAGTAAAAGGACAAGACAAACTGGTCTGGGTCTGAGACAAGGTGCACCCAGCAATGTTTGCTTCCCCATCCCACCCAGTTGGCCTACGGGCACCCACGAGCCCTGCAGGTGCAGACTGGATATCCTAACGTGGGTCGGCCCACTCTACAAGGCAAGGGGGCAAACCACTCCCACACAACAATGGACCCACCCTGAGACCATGTGAACCCTGGTGTAGCTATTTAAAGTGCAAGAGACTAGGTAAGAGACAAGAGACTAGGTAAGAGACAAGAGACTAGGTAAGAGACAAGAGACTAGGTAAATTCTTTTTTATTTTTGTTGTTTGAAGGTTGCGTATAAGTCAGCAAAATAGATCGTGTTGCAGCATGTTTCATGCCGTTACTTATGTAAAGGTGTTTGCCTTGGCTGTTCATTATTTGCCCTCTGCTGTGTCTGTCTGAAATCTCATTAGCCTGTCACATTTGATTTCTAGACCAGTTCTTGTCCGGGCAGCCCACTGCTTGAAGGTTAACATGCTGGGAACTTAATGCGAATTTATGCATGTGTATGTGTGTGTGCATGGTTGATCCTGAATGCTGAATAAAACCTAAAACTGTCAGAAAGTCAAAGTTGGCTGTCAAACTATATGCAACGACTTAGTGAGAGACAAAAGGGCAAGCCTTGATTTTCTGTTTTAAAGAAAATCCTTTCTTTTAGCTCTCTGTCAGTCAGTGCTCATTCAAAGCCTGTGTTCTGAACTACAAGTCGCTTTACAAAACAATCAAGTACTTTAAAGATAGTTTGTTGTATGCTGTACTATACCTTTAAGATATAGATTAAAAGTGCACATCTTGAAACATTGCAGGTATTTACTTTAACGGGCTAATAAAATAGCAAGTTATCCATGGGACAGTGATTAATCTGCTTGGGTTTGCAATAGTGAACACTACTGGAATGGATTAGACTGAATAATTCCCTAACAGGTATGACCTGTGACTCTGACTTTTGTCACAAAAGAGATATACTAAAAGATGTGTGTGTGTGCGTGTGTGTGTGTGTGTTTGTGTGTACATGTTTATATATATTTGTGAGGACCAAATATTTTGAAGGCATTTTGAGACTCAAAATGTGGTTTTAGTGTCAGGGTTACAGTTAGGCTATGGTTAGGTTTAGGCTAAAGGTTAGGATTAGGCATGGAAAGCATTATGTCAATTAGATGTCCTCACTAAGATATAAAAGGCAAGTGTGTGCACGTGTGTCCAGTGAAATAATAACTTATTAGTCTGAACATGCAGTTTGTAAATACACCATATGGACAACAGTACTGGGACATTTACACATTACACCTACAGCAGCTGCTCAGCCATGGAAGCTCATCCCACGAAGCTCCAGGTGCACAATTTCTGTGCTGATGTTAATGAAAGAGGAGTTTTAGAACTTTGGGGTTATTGAGTCAGTCAGAGTGTTCGTGACTTTTACATAATATGCACCTTATTGCTTTGAAATAACACAAATGACTCACGTAAGTAAAAAAAAACAAAACACAAATTTGTTATGTAAATCCAAATAAATAAGATTATTTTTTTCTTGGAAGTTACTTTAACACAGTTGGGCGGACCATTTAAAGTAAAAAAAAAAAAGTTAAAAAAAATAATAGACTGTTCAGTAAATCCAAAAAAGGAGACTTTAAAACAGACGATGGTGAGATTTAATTTTCTTTCTTTTCCCAGTGATTAATTTTAGAGTATCTTAAAATGCATTCTATTATAAGGTTTCAACAGTCTAACTGGTAACTTGTGTTTGGTGTCCTTCCTTTAAGTTGAAACACCTCTGCTCTGCTTCAGTTAAAGTTTGGAAGGTACGTACTAGAAGAAAAAGCTTTTGTGTTTCTGTTCATGGAGTGAAACTGTGGAACAGTCTGAATATGGAATTAAAGCAATGTCCAAACATAAAACTGTTCAAAAAGAGTTATAAAAATATGATCTCCTCGAACTATAAAGAAAAGGAAAATATTGAAATTAAGTGAATGTCTCTATTTTAAAAAAAAAATCATGATGTGATATTATAGTATATAGAATATCAGAAATCTGTTCACTATTTTTATTACAAATTATATCAGTAAGGAAGCTGACTAAATATTAACTGATAATTTATGGCGTGGGATTAAATAAGTGTTTACTTCTTCCCACTCCCTTTCAACATGTAAATTAATCAGAACGATAGCTATATTGAAATGTATTGTTTTTATTATTATTTTCTTTTCTAAATGTATCTGTATATTATTTACATGTTTGAAATAAATAAAAATAAAACATGTCTAAAATATTCTGAGAATATGTTGTTCTATCTAAAATTACAGAAG